CTCTCTCTCTCTCTCTCTCTGTCTGGTGAGCGCACACGCCCTATAGCAAAAACCTCTCAAAAAAAAGCTTGAGCGGAAAAATCAAGACTTGTGTTTCAAAGTATGTTTGAGACTTCTGTGATATGTCCAATCAGAGATGTCAGGAAGCAGTTGAATATGACCACTGGACTTAGGAGAGAGAGAGTAGAGCAGGAATATTAAAACTTAGGGGCAGGGCCACCAGGTGGTTAAGGTGCTTGATTCCACATGACCAATAGCGGTTCAAGTCCCATACTTGGAGGCTTAAACTCATGCCAGGTGTATGTGCATGCGTGCCCAAGATCCCAAGAGAAGAATGGAGAAGAGACTGCGGCATGGTCATCGCCCCAGGGGGTGATTTCTCACTCTCTCTGTCAAGCACACGTGCCCTATAGAAAAAAGTCTCTCTTAAAAAAAAAAAAAAAGGAGAGACCAGCAGATGGCATAGCAGTTATGTTGCTGGACTGCAGTTCGAGTCCTGGACTCAATGGCTTGAAAATCACGCTGGAAGTGTGTGCGTGTGTAATACCCACAAAAATCTTTCTTGAAAAGAGAGAGAGAGGGAACCAGCAGTTAGCGTAATGGCTATGTCGCTGGACTCCCACGTAGTCGACCACGGTTCGTGTCCCGGACCCGGTGGCTTAAAACTCACACTGGGCGTGTGTGCGTGCGTGCCCAAGATCCTGAGAGGAGAATGGAGGAGAAGGGATTGCAGTGTGACCATCCCCCCTGGGGGGTGATTTCTCGTTTTCTGTCTCTATGTCTCTCTCTCTCTGTCTGGCAAGCGCACGCGCCCTACAGTGAAAATCTCTCCAAAAAAAAAAAAAAGTAAAAAAGAGAGAGAGAGAGATTCCAAGATGTCTGAGGACCGGGATGAACAAATAAGAGTGCCATTGCTGAAGTGAGTTAACAATGGGAGAGGAGCAAGTTTGGGTGGAGAGAGTTCAGTTGTGGACACAGTGAGGCTTCACTGGCACGCGTAGATATTCCAGCAGGGATACCAAGTAGACAGCTGTTAGAAAACTCTGGAGGGCCAGGAAAGTTATCAGTATACAATGAAAGCCATGGAATTGATGACATCACTGAGGGAAAAGAAAGTTCTAGAAGCAACTGAGAGGACCAGACCATTAGTCACTGCACCCTGAAGGCTGAGAAGAGGAGCATCCAACAAAGGAAACTGAGTCAAGAACAGCCAGTGAGGTAGGACAACGCAGGTGGTGGAACCCCAGAAGTCAAGTAAGGAAAGGCCCGTGAGAAAGGAGGAGGGGATGTGTCCAGTGAATAGAAAGATGAATTAAGCATTGAATTTGGCAAGGCAGAGGTCATTGTGACCTCAACCAAAGCAACTGCCACTAAGTGACTCTCAAGAGAATGGGGAAAGAGGGCACAAAGAAAATGACCTAGAGACAACTATTTGGAGGAATGTGTCCTCTAAGAGCAGAGAAGTAGGAGCGGTACTGGACGGGCACATGGAGCTAAGGGAAAGGGCTTGTTTTTGTTTTGTCTTTTTAAAGATTAATTACACTTGTATATCAAACAAAGCGAATGATCCAGTGTGGAGTAATACAGTGATTAGAGAGGAGAGCCAATTTTAGAAGAAAAGGGCTTATAGAGGTTAGATGAGGGCCAGCAGGTGGCCCAATAGATAAGGCGCTGGATCCTACATAGCTGACTGGACAGTTCGAGACCCAGACCAGGCGACTTGAAAACCATGTCAGGCACGGGAGCGTGTATGCCTAAAGTCCCTAGAGGAGAATGAAGGAGAAGGGATTGCAGCATGACAATCCCCTCTGGAGGGTGACTAGAGACAACTATTTGGAGGAATGTGTCCTCTAAGAGCAGAGAAGTAGGAGCGGTACTGGACGGGCACATGGAGCTAAGGGAAAGGGCTTGTTTTTGTTTTGTCTTTTTAAAGATTAATTACACTTGTATATCAAACAAAGCGAATGATCCAGTGTGGAGTAATACAGTGATTAGAGAGGAGAGCCAATTTTAGAAGAAAAGGGCTTATAGAGGTTAGATGAGGGCCAGCAGGTGGCCCAATAGATAAGGCGCTGGATCCTACATAGCTGACTGGACAGTTCGAGACCCAGACCAGGCGACTTGAAAACCATGTCAGGCACGGGAGCGTGTATGCCTAAAGTCCCTAGAGGAGAATGAAGGAGAAGGGATTGCAGCATGACAATCCCCTCTGGAGGGTGATTTCTCACTTTCCCTCCTTTTCTCTGTCTCTGACTAGGCAAGCCCAAGCACCCTAGGGCAAAAATCTAAAACAAATAAAATAAAGAGGTTAGATGAGATGAGAGCCAATATACGGATTAAGGGAGTGGCCTTTAGTAGGAGAAAGCATGGTTCATTCATTATTAACAGAAGAAAAAGTGGGGTACAGGGGCTGGCAGGTGGCATGGTGGTTAAGGACGCTGGATTCTCACATGACCAACCGCAATCAATCCCGACACTGGCTTGCTCTCTCACTTTCCCTCTCTCTCTCTCTTTTGTTCTGTCCCTCTTCGGTCAAATTAAAATAAATAAATAAATAAAATAATTCTTTTCTTTTTTTTAGAGGTTTTTGCTATAGGGCTGCTGGTGTGAGACCCAGACTCTCAAAGCCTGAGGACAAGGAACTCTTTTTTTTTTTTTTTGGAGAGTTTTTTTGTTTGTTTGTTTTGTTATAGGTCGCGTGCACTCGCCAGACAGAGAGAGACAGAGAGATAGAAAGCGAGAAATCATCCCCCAGGGGGGGATGGCCACACTGCAATTCCTTCTCCTCCATTCTCCTCTCGGGATCTTGGGCACGCACACACATGCGCCGGCATGAGTTTAAGCCACCAGGTCCAGGACACGAACCACAGTCGACTACATGGGAGTCCAGCGACATAGCCATTACACTAACTGCTGGTCCCAATAAAATAATTCTTAAAAAAAAAAAAACAAAAAGTGGGGTATAGATGCCCAGCTGCCGGTAGTTGGGTAGATTCCATGGTGGGACACAGTGACGATATTTGTGGTTTCTTCTATGCTCAGTGAAAACAAAGCAGTCATCAATGAAAAAGGAGGACGAAGGGAAGGAGGCAAGAAGTTTAAGGAAAGAACACGGACCACGGTTTCTGAGACATTTGGAAAATGAACTGACTAGAGGCCAGCAGGTGGCATGGTGGTCGAGGTGCTGGACTCCCACATGGCCGACTGCAGTTCAGGTCCTGGACCTAGTGGCTTGCTTGCTCACTCCTTCTCTTGTCACATTAAAAAATAGTAATGATGAATACGATCAGGTACAATAGTTCTGTCTTTACAATGAATTGACCAGGCGAGTGCAGGGTGGCTATCACACAGCACTGAGAGCCCACCCGGAGGTCCAGGTCCCAGGTGTAAAGGTCAGTCAGCATGGTGTGTGCCTTCCCCTTGTCATGACCTGATTTGCAAGTACAGCACGAGTTGGATTTACCGGGCAAGAACAGGGGGAGCGCTCTGAGGGAGTGACTCCACTGGTGGCCGATGGAATAGAAGGTGCCCAGCAGAGACAGGACAGAAGGCAGTGACGCAATGCAAGGTGACTAGGAGCCGTGGATTAGAAGCCCTTGGAAGCTAAAAATGTAACAAGTGGGGGACATGGACGAGTGAGCTGGAAAGGCAGGATGTGGTTAGAGATGGCAGTGCTTGAGAGAGAGGTCCTAGAGGTGGCACAGCCATTGGCCAGGGCTAGAGTGGGCACATGAGGCGGGCTGAAGGACACGGCATCAGTGGGAGGAGGTCAAAGGACCATGGAGCCAAGCGGACCATCCATGTGGAGACTGAGCTCTTCCTGCATGGAGACGGCTGGTGTCAGGAGAGGCAGTAAGCTAGCTTCAGGGGAGGGTCGGGGAAAGAAGCCTCACCAGAGAGGACCGGAGGTGAGGAAATTGAGTTGGTGAGTAGACAACTCTTAACGAGTTCTTCAGTGAGCGACGACAAAAATGGTAATGAGGGTGGAGAAAGGAGGGCTGAAGAAGACGTGGGGTCAAGGACTGCTTCAGGATGGGAGAATTCAGAATGTGTGTGTGTGTTTGAGGGGCCGATTCATTAGGAAGAGAGAAACTGATGCTATAAGAAAAAAGGGGATGGGGACCAGTAATTGGCATAATGGCTACGTTGCTGAACTCCCATGTAACCGACCACAGTTTGAGTCCTGGACCCGGCGGCTTAAACTCACGCCGTGTGTGTGTGCGTGTGTGCCCAAGATCCCGAGAAAGAAAAAATGAGCAACTTTGTACAGTAAGAGTCAAGTGCTTAGGAGGAGGAGGCCCTGGTTTTCCCAGGTGGGGGCTTTGTCAGGAGCCGGGGAAGGTGCCCTAAGGGAGCCCCTGAAATGGATGGCCTGGAATTCAGACTGGGCAAGGAGAGGCAGCAGGTCACGCTGTAAGAGCTGGTCAGCAGGGAGGTCCTCTGCGGAGGAAGCATCATTCGGGGCTGGGTCACCGTGAGAGGTCGCTAGTGAGCTGGTGTGGTCCTTGTACCCAGGTCCCATCAGCCCCGTCAGCCCCGTCAGCTGGTGGACCCAGTGAATGCAAGCAACAGGAGCACTTAGTAGGGCTTTTCTGAACACTGGCTCAGGGCTCTGTTCCTACAAGGGCACCTGCCAAACACAAAATATCCTCGGGTCAGAGAGCCCTCCCAGTCGCTGCGGAGGAAGGCAAAGGCGATAACACAGAAGTTTAAATGCTATAAGGAGGTAATGGTGGAACTGCAAGGCAGAGGGCTGCAGTGACTACCGTCCGGGAACGAAGGACGGCTGCGGAAGCAGGGCATCGGGTCGCAGGGGGGGGGGAGGAAGGGGCCGATGCTACTCTCTCATCAGGATGTCGGTTTCCCATCGGAGTCCCTCGCGTCAGAACAGTGGCTGCGAAGCAGCAGGTGTGTGACACCGGTTACCCGGCAAGCTCGGCAGGCAGACTCCACGTTAGGACCCCCAGCTCCAGACGGGGCGAGGGGAGGGCAGCACCTACCGCGCAGGGAAACCAGCGGAGGCCGCGGCGGGGCTCTGGTGATCAGAGACGGGGAGGTCAGCACCACCGCGCCGGAAAGCACCTTGGCTTCGTCCGCCTCATTGGGTTCGCCGGGCAGCCCGGGCTGGTAGGGCTTGCGTGACTTGTGGGGTGCACCAGCCTTCTGGGGCTCATAGGGTGGGAAGGGTTCGTGGGGATCGCAGGGTCCTGGAGGCTCAGAGGGCGCGTCGGGCTCGTAGAGTCCACGGGGCTCCCCCGGCGCGCGCGGTCTGGAGGCTTCGCCGGGCTCCCGGGCAGCATAGGGCGTGTGCGGCTGGTAGGGCTGTGGGGGCCCGTGGCGCTCCTCGCGGTGGGGGCCCGGGGCGCGCCTCACGCTCGGCTCGCCGGTCTTGCCCGTCGGTCTTCCCGGAGCTCTCGGACTCCTCCTCCGACCCCCTGAGCTCGTTGCGCATGTTGAGGATCTGGAGCACCAGGGGCCTCTGGAAGACATCCGAACAAGTGGATATTTCAGTCGTTTCCTGCCCGTCGGTCAGCTCGGACAGCGCCGACGAGTACGAAAAGTCCTGGTCTTTCATTCGTGTCGGAAGCTCCTGCCGCGCGCGGTCAGCCCTCCTTGCCAGCGGACGCAAGGAGCGGTTTGCTTTCTTGGCGGTGGGCCTGGAGGGGAATGAGGAGACTGGGGGC